AGAGCCTCCGATCTTGAGGGACTGCTACTGAGTCCTTAGATGACATGCAGTACCTCTTTGGCATGAATTAAATCCATCCATCTGTCTTGGACAGCCATAGCAGGAAGAGCACTGCTGACGGATACAAAGACACTCCATACCCAGACTTGGGTGCGTGTGACTCTGATGGAGGAAGGAGCATAATTCCAATAGCCCGTACTTCAGTCTAAGTGCCCTGTTCTTTTTGGATTGGGACGTTAACCTTTTACAGCTAACTGCACCTGTCCCTATCGTGAGGCTCTCCCAAGCATGTAAAGCAGCTGGGGTGTGGGTCACTAACCGGCTCTGGCTTGCCACAAGAGTCTGAAGCCTAGAGAATGAGGCATAACTCCAGCACCAAGACCATTATCAGGAGGAAAAGTCAAAAACCATTATTATTAAAAAAAAAACCACACACCTCAGCTAAGCCAAAACTAACTACTCTACACCAATGGGTAAAACTATAATATCTATAATGAGATAGAGAAGATACTTGCACAGGCAATAGAAAAGAACCAAGGGGGAGGAGAGGTCGGAGGCAGCTCCACCCTTTATGCCTATGTACAGTGCGTAAGGCAAGTGATACCAAGTGATACCGCTTTCAAAGTGAATTTTGGGTGGTGACCTGACTACCTAAATCCTGTCTAAAAAGGCAGTCAGCCCTTCTTCCTAGGCTCTCAAAGCATTCTACGAACTCAGCAAGACTCACCATCCTTATGAAAAGGGTAGTTATCTCTATTTTACAAATAAGAAAACATGCATAAAAGTTACCATGGACACCACAGGCAGCAGTAGTACTGGGGCCTCAGCACTCTGACTCTAATCATGTGGGACAGGAAGCTCCAGAGCTTCCTCCTGGGGCCAAGCTTTTAAAAGTCTCTTAGAACAGAAGCAGGACTTCACAAACCAAGTTGATAGCACCAGGCCACTAATCTGGATTTTTAGTTTTGCCAGGAATTGAGAACATGAGGGAGAAAAGGAAAGACGGCCATGGTGTCTAAAGGAAAGGAGAACGTAGCAAAATTACACTAAGAAAAAGTCTTAATTGGAGAAGAAAAAAAGGTTATCAAGGGCAATAATTTTTAAAAGATAAAGCAGAATAGGGAAGGGAATTAGTAAGTTTTATACATAAAATATGCAAGATGAAAACGAGGTATGTGCAAATAACGACAGCCAATATGAGCTGCAACAGTGTTTTAAGTGGTGAACTCTTTGGGGCAAGTATTGGTCTTTTTTTATATATATATATATAGCTCCCATAGAAATCAGGGTATTTATAACTTATGAAAAATGACTTACTGAAGGTCATAAAGTATCTAAATTGACAGCCCTAGGTATATCATACACAGGACAACTTTCATAATGTGACCCATTTTATACTCCTTTCTCAGCCAAAACTTCCAATGAAAGAGCATTTCTCCTAAAGAATAAGTACAGAATAGAACTGGTTTACTGAGCCACTAATTGTAAATGTTAACAAGTTATAAGAAGTCACTCAGAGGGTTCCAACTAAAGAGGAAGAAACATGGTTCTCCTTTGCAGTGCCAATGCCAAGAAATGGGTCATCCAACTTCACAATTAACTACTCCCAAGACAGCGTTCAAACCAGATAGAAACAAGACCTCAGATCATTTATTTAACTTGATATCTTACATGTAAAATTATTCTGTTTTCATCTGTGTTTTTGTGAACCAGAAGAAAGTTAAACTTTAAAAACCGACACCCTTAATTCTGTTATGTTTCTTGGATTGCCTCTATGAAAGAAAGCAATAGCAAGGTGTATTTAAAAACATTTAAAATGAAGTTAAAAATTCACACACTCATACTCTTCCATCTGCTTCCCCACACTAATACAGGTTCTCCCCCCCCCCCCCATCCCCAATAAGCTCTCTAATGGGAGAGTTTTAGTAACATGAATTTATATGTTCTGTTATCACATCTTAAAAACAAAAACAAAACATCTATACCAGTTTTATTTCAAACAAGAAAAAGATAATTCACTTAACTGCTATGTGTGGTTCCTAGATTAAGTCTAGGCAACACTAAAAAGAAAAGAGAGTTAGAAAACAACTTCTTTTACAGGAATATTTCTATTAAGGCACTGTTGCTGAGGGATGTGAAAAATACCCCCGAATGACAACACATTTGACAAAAAGCGCCGGTGTGGACAGTGTCCAACAGCGGCTGCCGAAGCTACTGCCCCTCATTTGGGGCGATTTTATTGTGTCATTAGGAGAGTTCTCTCTGGGTAACAAACAGTGGCTACTGCAGCCGCACAGCCACACCACTGTAAGGTGCGCAGTGTAGATATAGTCTAAGTGATAGCCCAAAGTTTGAAAACCAAATCTAGTACAAAACAGACACAGGGTTCAATTCTTAGGTTTAGTACTTGTATAGGACTAGAGCAGGGGTAGGCAACCTATGGCATGCGAGCTGATTTTCAATGGCACTCACACTGCCCAGGTCCTGGCCACCGGTCTGGGGAGGCTCTGCATTTTAATTTAATTTTAAATTAAACTTCTTAAACATTTTGAAACCTTATTTACTTTACATACAACAATAGTTTAATTATATATTATAGACTTACAGAAAGAGACCTTCTAAAAAGGCTTAAAATGTATTACTGGCACGCGAAACCTTAAATTAAAGTGAATAAATGAAGACTTGGCACACCACTTCTGAAAGGTTGCCGGCCCCTGGACTAGAGTGTCATTATGGCTGACCTCCATAAAAATTACATCATAGGCAGATTAACTCTGAAAATTGTACCTTCTCTGCAAGTGATCAGAAAGCATACATACAAATGTTTTCTACTATCACTATCTTTTCTTGATCATTCAGCACACATTAATGAAGCCGGTGACTTAGAAAGATCCCACTTTCTACAGGATCACTTAATGGCTCAGCTGAAACAGAATGCCCTGTCACTTAAGCACTTACCAGCCTGTATGCCCAGGGAAAGGTTCAGAGCTCAGAGTGGTCGGTCTTTCTGTAAATATTGTCTAGCAGATAGAATTATTTTCTACATAATGTAAACTTGAAACAGGCACAGTTAAGAAGATTAAGTTGCTCAAAAGCTGCTATGTCTGTCCAAGAAAGCCAGAAGCAACAAGGTATTTAACTTCATGCTTTCTTCATGGCTTCCATGTCACAAAACCTTTATTTTCCTCAAATTAACTTATCCTCATTGTGCAAGACAACTTTAGGCAGAATACAAATTACACTATTATTGCTCAAGGTTAAGTTTAAGATGTTACTCATCTTCTGCAGAGAAACCATAAACAATTTAGGTAAAACCCAGACTGTAAGGCAGGTCTCAGAGTCACATACCACCTAACACTGATTGCAAAAGAAAAAAAGTCTTGAAGCTTTCCAAGTTTCAATTTAAGAAAAAAAGTGTAACAAAAAAGTTACAAAATGTATGCAATATACTAGAAGTATTGCTTTTTTGCCTAAGTAGTAACTCAGTAAAATAAAAAAAAGAAAGACTATGCATATGGATTTTATATATGTATGTATGTACACACACACACACACACACACACACACACACACACACACACACACACACACCTCTTTGTGTTCATTATTGTAATTTGCTGGGTTACAGAAAGCAGGTATATGAAGATTATGTAACTAAGCAGGTCTATGGCTGTTAATAAATATCTCATTTAGTAACGTTAAAACAAAGTACCACTACCAAACATATCACATTTGCTATTTGGAGAATTCAAGGCACAATTTTGCTATTGTCTTTAGTTCCCTAAAATCACAAAGCAGCTCCTGCAATATCCTTCACATATATTGTTCTGACATGAGATCTACAGCAGGAGTCTGCTGGGGGAAGAGAGAGAGAGCCCAAAGAGCCAGGTAAACATTTTAGTATGCTGTACTTATTTATAAAATGCGTATTTTGTACCGTGTGGGAACAAATGTAAGGTGCTTAAGTACAAGGCACAGATTTGCAACTTAAACAGTATTTAACCTAACCAATCACCCAAGCCAGATCTGATCTAGGGTGACCAGATAGCAAGTGTGAAAAATCGGGATGGGGGGGTAATAGGAGCCTATATAAGAAAAAGCCCCCAAAATCGGGACATCTGGTCACCCTAATCTGATCACATATCTGGTGTGCATGAGCACATAATACCAGCGTATTGCAAGCGGATGTCTAACTGAGCTAGAAGTGACTCTACTTCAGGAGACTCAAGAAAAAAAGTGTTTTTACCTTCCCTAGCTGGAACATGCAACATGTAGTTCCACCGCTGATGCTAACTCCCCTCCGCACATTTGTAAATCACATTGAAACAGTTACATTGTGACAATAAGCCTGCAGCACATAATAGATTTTCCCCGTTTCGGTTACAAAAACGGGATACCTCGGAAAGGAGGCGGAAGTTTTCAGGAAAGACATTTTATCCAACTGGCCCAAGTCTTTATATCAGGGTCAAAGGGTCTGCTCCAGCCACCCAAACCCCAGATCACGAGTAGGGAACGAGAGCGAATGTTGCCAGTGCGGTCACAGCCGAGCCGGGTCCAGCACCCCCGGGCTCCCCAGACCCCATCGGCCGGGAGCAGAGACGCTGGGGGCAGGCGGCTCAGGACCGGATGCAGCGCGTGACGCGAGGCGCTCGCGGCGCTGCCCCGGGGCCAGGGGCGCAGATAGCGGGTTACAAGACTGCGGGTGCTGCCGCCGGAAGGGGACGGCCGCCGGCGCGCTCGGTGCCCTTTTCACCCCGCTCCCGGACAGCGGAGGGAGGAGCCGCTGCGGACCCCCCGGACCCCCACCATGGGATCGGCCCGGCCCGGCCACGTTTCTCAACGGCATCAGTCCTCGCGGCTGCTCTGCGCGGACCCAGAGCCGCCGGGCTCGGCCAACAAAGGCAGGCGAGCTCCGGGCTCCGCCCGACCGGCCCCTGCGCCATGTTGTTGAAAGGAGCCGGCGGGGACCCGCGGAGCCGCCCCCCCGCCCCGTTACTCACCCGCCGCCCCCGGCAGCAGCAGCGCCGCGGCCGCCAGCCAGAGGAAGGCCCAGGGCCGCGGAGGGGCCGTTAGCTCCATGGCGCCGCCCGCTCGCGCCAAGGTTCGGCCCCGAGTCGTCCCCGCCGCCGCTTCTCAGACTCACTCGCCCTTGCGGCCACTATATAATGTAGCTGACACACAGGCGCCTCCTGATTGGCCGCCCCCGCCCCTAGCCCCGCCTCCTAGGCAGCTGCAGACATTCCGAACAACAACAAGAGTCTGGAGAATACAACCGGCTCGGCGCGAGGCCAAGGGGGCGGGGCGGGGCGGGGCGGGGAGCGCGAAGCGGGGTGAGTGACACAGGGGAGCGTCTCCCTCCCCCTGGGCGGGCGCGCGCGCGGACAAGGGTCCAGCCAGCCTGTCCCTGCGCTGTGGGCCCGGCCGTAGGGCACGTGCGGGGGCTGGGGCGCTTCGCGCTCGGGCGGAGTGTGGACGGGATAGAGCCACCTCTGCCCTGTCGCTCCCTCCTGCTCACACGGACCGAGACAGGGAGCTCGCTCCGCCTTCAGCGTGAACCAAGGGAGCCAAAGCCGGGCCTGGTACTGGGCAGGGGAGCAGGGCCGCCGGAGCTAAGTAAGGAGGCGACAGAGATGGAGCAGGGCTGGAGGCTGCCCTGGGAACACGCTGAACAGAGAGGGGGGAGAGATTGTGCACACCCAGCAAGTAAAGCTTTCAGCAGTGCTCGAGGCTCGAGCACTGTCTAAAGAGGACAGCACCCAGAGAACTTTCCCCCTAACGTAGGAAGAGCCCAGCATCATAGCAAATCAGATTTACAGAAAGCAAGGAAATTCCTGAATAAGTCCTTGCAGCCATACATCTATCACTGGGCATTCTTTTGTAAATCTTAAAGTATGGAAGGCACCAGGTAAGGTTACAATTAGGACCTACCAAATTCACTTCCACTATTGAACACAAAAAAAACAGTGGCCAGCTCTCAGGCACACTTAAACTTGTCTTGAAAATGCTGCAACATCAAAGAGCTTATCTCCACTACAACCTTAAACTGAGTATTGCCACTACCTAAGGCTATGTCTACACTACAGCCTACGTCAGCATAAATGTGTGGGAATAAACCACCCCCCTGAGGGACCTTAGGGCTGGTCCACACTGGGGCGGGGGATCGATATAGGAAACGCAACTTCAGCTACGAGAATAGCGTAGCTGAAGTCGACGTTTCCTAGATCGAACTAAATTTACTTACTTCGGGTCCATGCGGCGCAGGCAGGCTCCCCTGTCGACAGCGCTTCCTCCTCTCGGCGAGCAGGAGTTCCGTAGTCGACGGGGGAGCGCTTCTGGGATCGATCTATCGCGTCCAGATGAGACGCGATAAATCGATCCCAGAAGATCGATCTCTACCCGCCGAATCAGGCGGGTAGTGTGGACCAGCCCTAAGTCACATCAACATAAGTGCTCGTGTGCACAGTGCTATGTTGGCAGAAGACCCTCTCCTGCCGACAGCTTCTGATGCTTGTGGAGGTGATTTTTTTATGTTGATGGGCTGGCATAGAGCATCTTCACCAGATGCAGTACAGCTGCGCCACTGCAGTGCTGTACGTATAGACATGGGCTAAAGTTTCATGCACACACAAAATCTCTTAATTTGTCAGTGTTTCCTCTAATTTTTCACACCCATGTGTGGAATAAATTTTGCTATGTGCACATAAAATTCATGTGGCGGGGTGGGGCTGAGGGGTTCGGAGTGTGGGAGCTGGGGCCGAGGTTTAGGGTGCAGGAGGGTGAGGGCTCTGGTTGGGGGTGCAGGCTCTGGGGTGAGCCTGGGGGATGAGGGACTTGGGGTGCACTGGGGCTCCCCAGGGTTACAGTGGGGAAGAGAGTACTCCCCCCAGCTCTCTCTCCCTGCAGCAGCACCTGGGCTTGGTGGGAGAGGCACCTCTCCCCTGGCCACAGCAGGTCCAGGGCCTGTGGAGAGGCATCTCTCCCCACTGCAGCCCTGAGTGCCTGCATAATGCTTAATAGGCAGCTGCACGGCCACACAGCTTAGAGGGAACTTAGATTTGAGTGTAGTGCTGCTTTTAACTCAAGCTGGCTGACCATCTGTGGTATACGCTGACGCTCCAGTGAGGGCAAGGTGTCAGCTGCTAATACAATACAGGTGCAGGCTCTAGCGTCACTCTGATGCTGCTAGTCCTCCATTTCCTTCCCCAAACTCCACCCCTGCCTCAAGTTCACCCAGAAAGGGCAGACAAGTTCTCCCACAAATCACTGGGGAAGAATTCATACATTTATCTAACTTACTGCAACACAAAGAACAGTGTTATATACACTCCATAAGTCTTAGCGCCATATACAAGAGAATAGTGCCACCAGCAAGGATGCAGCAGCTCAAATATTATTTCAGTGTGACTGTTTTTGCTCACGCTAGACCAGGGGTTCTCAAACTTCATTGTACCGTGACCCGCTTCTGACAACAAAAGTTACTACACGACCCCAGCGGGAGAGGGGAACCAAAGCCTGAGCCCACCCGAGTCCCACAGCCCGAGGCAGGAGGGCCAAAGCCTGAGCCTACCACCCCAGGCAGGAGGGCTAAAGCCAAAGCCCAAGGCCTTCAACCCCAGGTAGGAATCTGTAACCCGAGTCCCGCCACCCAGGGCTGAAGCCCTTGGGCTTTGGTCCTGGGTGGTGGGGCTCAAGCTTCAGTTTTGACCCTGGGCAGTGGACTCGGGCTTCGGCCCCGGGCCCCAGCAAGTCTAATGCCAGCCCTGGTGACCCCCATTAAAAAGGGGTCGTGACCCACTTTGGGGTCCCAACCCACAGTTTGTAGAAAATTGTTGATGCTCGCAACCCAACATAGCTGGGGATGAGGGGCTTGGGGTGAGGGAAGGGCTCAGGGCTGGTTAAGAGGGTGGGGGTGAGGGCTGTGGTGTAGGGCCAGAAATGAGGGGTTCAGGGAGTGGGAGGGGGCTCTGGGCTGGGGCAGGGGTTGGGGTGCAGGAGGGGGTCAGGGCTCTGGGCTGGGGGTGCAGGTTCTGGAGTGGGGCCGGGGATGAGGGGTTTGGTGCAGGAAGCAGTTCCAGGTTTGGGGGAGCTCAGGGCTGGGGCGTGGGATTGGGGCACAGGGTTGGGGTGTGGACTTACCTCCGGCAGCTCCAAGTCAGTGGTGCAGCTGGGGTGCAGAGGCAGGCTTCCCGCCTGTCCTGGCACCGTGGACCGCACTGCGCCCTGGAAGCAGCCAGCAGCAGGTCCTAGGTGGAGGCGTGCAAGTGGCTCCGCGTGACTCTTGTCTGCAGGCACCACCCCCCTCAGTTCCCATTGGCCAGTTACTGGCCAAGGGGAATGTGGAGCCGGTGCTCGGGGCAGGGGCAGCGCACAGAGCCCCATAGCCCCCCAGCCTAGAAGCCAGGCCCGCTACTGGCCACTTCCGGGGCGCAGCGCAGTGTTGCAACAGGTAGGCACTAGCCTGCCTTAGCTGGGCAGCACTGCCGAGGGGACTTTTAACATCCCGGTCGGTGGTGCTGACCAGAGCAACCCAGTGCCTGACATGCCGCAATTCAGTACTGGGTCATGACCCTAACTTTGAAAAACGCCGAACTAGATGTCTCGTTCAAATAGCTGTTTCGGCATTCTGCATTTTCTTACAAGCTCTCTAGTAGTAGGAAGCATACAAACACTCTGCACAAAATCATGACTACTTTAACAATTTAAAACTATGCACTATTTATTCATTCCTTCTTTCCCCTTCCCCTTCTTTCATAGCAACCATCACTATAGGATATAAACATCCAAATTGATTTTTTTTTTTTGCTGAGCAAAATTCTTTGTACTCTTAATATCATTAAAGAGAAAAGTTAGCCAACATCTTTACAATCTGACATAAGTTATAATAAGCCCATTACATTCAAACAGAAACTGTACATAATGATCAAATTTGATAGTACAAAATACATTTAGTTGTCCAAATATTAGACATATATAAGGAATTGATTGACCCTCTTTTAAAGTAATGTGTTTTGCAAAATGGACACTGCAACATTACAGCTTGTTCTCACTGCAAGGTTTTTTAGGACAATTGTTTCAGGATTTTGTCAGGACAACACCCTATCCTCCCTCATTCTATGGCTACTGCAGCACTCAAACTCCCTTTTTCCCCTCCATTATCTTCCATCCACCACTATTCCAGCACTCAACAGGTTTTCCCCTTTCACATTACTGTGGCATAAATTTTCTCATTTCTGTTCCTCTTATCCAATTTACCCATCAATCCAGTACTTCAATTCCTTCACACCACCACTGGTGTACGTAGTGGCTTTGCTTATCTACACCAAGGGTTGCAGCAATGCAGCTACACCAATAGCTGTAACTGGGGCAAATCCCCAATCTAAACAAGGAGTAAGAGTGGTTGGTTGATGGTGCAAGGGCCCTGAGCCTAGTGGGCTCTTCCCATATTACTTGGGACCCACACCAAGGGAAAGGAGCACCAACCAGTTCTCCAATTTCCAGTTAATATACACACACACACACACACACACACTCTCCTTACAATGAATTAACTTGCTCCCCCCCATAGAACCCAAACAAATTATGTCCATCCTAAACACACCCCTTAAGATTCTGGGCTTCCATTTTTTCCTCAGCTGCTCTGCTCCCTCATTCCCCTTTTGGTAACTGGGGAAAGAAGCTGGGAGTCTCATCTCCCTCAGGAGTGGATGGGGAGTAGGAAAGAGTCTTCACCACAACTCTGGGAGAGCGGCAGCATTAAAACCAGAGAGGAGGAGCTTCATGTCTAGCTGGGTAACCCTTCACAGCCCACGCATGACTGACCCTTCTGTGGGTAGGCAGGGGAGGGGAGTCATATTTGTGAGGGAGAAAAAAGCTCCTAGCCATGTACAGTAACTCCTCACTTAACGTTGTGGTTACGTTCCTGAAAAATGCGACTAAGTGAAACGATGTTAAGCGAATCCAATTTCCCCATAATAATGAATGTAAATGGGGGGGCTGGAGGGTTAGGTTCCAGGGCAATTTTTTTTTGCCATACAGTACAGTACTATACTTGGGAGGAGCCCCCGCCTTACCCCACACAGGCACAGCCCACTGGCACTAGAGACAATGAGGCAGGCAAGGAGGCTGAAGGTGCT